GAACATGATTCTCCCAGTAGCTGTCCTTCACCTGTAGGGTTATACCCTACCCCTTTTATTGGTCATCCAGAAATAATTGGTCTGACTAAGAACTTGCGGGTACCGAGTTGGCATGACCAGGAACTTGCGGGTTCTGAAGTTGGATCGTTGTCCGAGCACGGTGGCTCAAAGATCTGGGCTGCTCTCGGAAGCAGGCGGTCGGGGCCTTGGCTGGCCTGTCTCTAATGATCCAGTTGTTGCAAAGACCTCCGTTTCGGCACGATAGGCTCAAGTTTGTTTTGAGATTTGGTCCTATGGCGATCATGGAGATTTTCACGCCATCGTGGCCCGAAGTCTGGGTTGCCCCGCTGGCCAGGGTCATGACAGATTCTTTGAAGGATGCTCCATTCACAATATATGCTGTGTTCCTGTTGTAAGTTTGATTGGACTTGTCAGCTCATTTGGAGATGTGTGCTTCAGGAGATTCTCGCTTGTGCTTCGATGGTTCCTCGCATCCGCTCCTGCAAGAAGATCTTGTTGATGCCACCTAACATCGATGAAGTGGACCATATCACCGAGAACATGGTGGCCATGAATAAAGAAAGCCGCCCTGCACGGCATTAAAATACACACAATGCATATCTACCTTGTATTTTCATTTGGTTTCCCAACCGCGCCGACGGAGGATCTCCTGCAGCCTTTGGTGTATGCATATGGCCAGTGCGAAGTCGTGGCGACTGTGCCGGTGTTGACACCTGTAATGGCACAGCTGTTCACAGCTGCTGGTGTTGCCAGTCAGGACTTTAAAGATGTTGTACTTTCAAGATGTTGTAACGGTGTTTCTGTATAAATGTTGCATTGCAATGTGTTCGAATTCAGGTTCCACGTCCTTTGCCGAAACCACTTGGCAAAGCTGCACATGTGGTGAAGAAGATGCTTCACTACTGTAAGAGGCTAGCCGAGCGATCCCCCACTCAGCGAATGCAGGAGGTAATGGCTGTGACTGAGGCTGCTGGGCAGTTGAGTTCCATCTAGCTTTGTGCAATCATAGAGGGAGGCACTCAGATATTTAGGGAAAGTTAGCACATATATATATATATATATACCTATATATGCTTATACCCTACCCCTTTTTTAGGGTACCTAGTTTTTTATATAGCAGATCCTAACCATAAAACTAGGTACCTTAAAAAAGGGGTAGGGTATGACCCTATAGGTATGTGTGTGTAAACATCCTGGCTCAGGTTTTCAGGAGAAGCTATGCAGCTACGGACTACCCTGATCTTGCAGAGCATCACCCCAAGCCCGATTTCGAGATCCGCTACAAAAGCAAAATGCCTTCGAAGAAAAGGATGAAAATCCCTGCTACCGAGATAGAAGCAGATGCTGATCGAGATCGACCCGTCCCATTGGCAGATGATGCTTCTGCTAGTTTCAGGTCTACATCTTCGACTAGCACTCTGTCGATTGTGTCGGTTAATGATGTTGCAGTGCCTGCTGGGCCAGAGGAGGATAGGAACACTTGATTTATTTGGAGTTGCCTTGAGTCATCAACCGGATGCAGGGTCGACTACTTCTAGCTCCCAAGCTTATTTGCTCAGCAGGCACATGTGATCGAGTTTGTGGTTCGAGTCGGGGCTTGAGCTGTTCCGAGTAGCTAGACCATGAGGGTCTAGCATTTGGCAGGACCTTTCTCCGCAGGAGCCCAGTCCGGCTGAAGCTTCAGGGATGCAGCAAGCCTCGGCTGTGGAGGCGGTTCGTCGGGCTGCAACCCCAATGACAAAGTTTCGCAAAGTGGCAGTTATGGAGACTTGCGAATCGGATTCGGATGATATTCGCATGTACACCCCGAAGCCGAAGCGACCGACATCTGCCATTCTGAAAAGTAGCTTTGCTGCCAGTGTAATGTTCTCCGTGTTCAAGGGTTTGTGTTGTGTTGAGTTGTCACTTGCTGGGTGTCTGAACATCATGCAAACCTAGGCCTTCTTCGCCGAAAGCTCTTGGATCGGCTTTCCCGAGCTACGGTGAGGAGGGGCTCAAGCTGGGTTCCAGCTGGCGACAACATCGAGACGCAGCCATGGGTCCTTCAGTTGCAAGGTATACTATGCATGTTATATGCAGACTCATGTCTGTGTGATGCCCTCCAATTGTAAGGAGGATTATCATGTGGACCTCTGCACGCCATGCCCTGCCAAGGCAAAGTGTGTTTATCAACAATGAAATATACATGACATGTGTGCAGCAAGAGCATGCAAGCGATTACATTGTTAGCTTTGTTGTGCTTGTAGGTGCCGACATTGATGCCGAATGCATCGCCCGATCGCCGACCAGAGCGAGTGCCGCTTGGCCTCTTTTGTGGGCAAGCATGTCGCACTATGATTTCTTGTAACATGTTAAACTCATATAGTTCAGGTGGCCACACGATGCCCAGCCTGCCTTTGGCCAGTCTTTGTCAAGCTCATCTTCATTGTCAAGCTTGGGTGGTCATGCTGCTTATAACCAAGTTCATCATACTTGCATGTGCAGGTCATGAGTGCATTGTCGAAGTCATGGAACTCAGGCTGCTCATCCTCAGCCGGAGCCCTCCAATGGCAGAGTGCTTATGCGAGGTGTGAGCGCGGATAAGAATGGAGGGGCTTCGCCATACAGTCGTCATGTGCAGCTGACGAAGTCTTTGGTTCAGGAAGCTGCTGGCAAACTTGGGGTGGAGTTGACTGTGCCGCTTACACGTGACATGCAGAAAGAGGTCTCCGATGCTGCCAAGGAGCAGTGGTCCAAGAGGCCCAAGCCAGCAGCTGATGAAAATGAAGCAGCAGCTGTGCCTGCTTCCAAGGGCAGGGGTCGGGGTAAAGGTCGAGGCCGGGGTAAAGGTCGGGGACGGGGTAAAGGTCGGGGACGGGGAAAGGGTGCAGCAAAAGCTCCGGCAAAGGGTGGAGGCAGGGGCAAGGGAAAGGGTAGAGGCAAAGGTGTGGGTGCTAAGCTACGCCGAGCTGTTTCGAAGAAGGCGATTGGGAAGTCCAAGGCAAGAGCTGCTCCCAAGGAGAAAGCTCGTGCCAAGAAGACAACCAAGAGAAAGGTTGCAGAGGCCGAGGTTCCTGCATCGATGGAGCACCCGGTGGACAGATTGAATGCACAGCTTCGCGACTTTGAAGATGATAAAGGCCAGGAGTTTGATGCTACCAAGAATACCTGGGGCAAGGTCTCAGATGAGCTGAAAAAGAAGCTTAAGCCTTTGATCTACAAGATGGAGAAGCCCCTTTGAACATATATATAGTATGTGTCCTGTTAATAAGCTCTGTTGCCGATTGTTTAGTGTTCATGCTTTGTACGAAGAAATCCTGCATCTCAGCTGAGGTGGTATATTATGCCATACTGGAGCAAAGGGCATCTTGGCCTAAGGCAAGGCTACAATGGGATCCAGTGCCTCTTCCTCGGTGGACACATGTCCATGTCGCGACAACTCCAAATCTTCAATTCGGCCGTATTTTGGCTGCAGTTGTGAGAATACCCCTAGCAATTTGTGCCTTGCAAGTGGCATCCACGCCGCTTCAGGTTCGTCTCCTGCAGTCCAATCCACAGTGGAATGCCGTCGATGGCAGCTTCCGTCGGGAGTACGAAAAGCTCCTGCATCAGTGGAGGTGAGATGTGAGACCTCATGTGAGCTTGAGCTGCGAGCCATGACAATTCGATGCAGGGGAGATCATTCTGATTGTCGGGCGGTCGAGATTGCAATTCCTGGCAACTCTGTATAGCCTAGGCCTAACCTCTGCATATAAGTCGCTGCAGTCGCTTGCATCATTAAAACACCAACAACATTTTCCTGATCCTGACCGGTCGAATCTTCAATCTGGAAGTCTTCCCATGCACATGCATTAGCAGCAGGCCCGGCCTTGATTCTTAGGGGTACCTAGAGAATATATAGTGTTTAAGTTTCGTGCCATATATTATATATAATCTCCAACAAACCGTAGAAATTGCAATTGTAGAGGTTGGTACTAAGTTCATCATAGGATTTGCTTCTGTTGTGGCCTGTTTTCTGCAAACACTTGACATGCTGCCAGCAGCTTTGATTGAAGCAGTGGTGGCTTTAAGAACCATTTCAATTGGGCCCTTGCAACTGGGATGTCACAAGATTGAGCTTCCGAAGGTGTGCTTCCGAGCTCTGAGAAAAGCGCCACAGCACCCAACCTAAAACCCGCAAAGCAAAAGCTTGGATCCGATGCCTAGAGCTTCCAAATCAATAGCCTATGCAGGTCTTAACGAGGCTTCGCTCCCAAACCAAGCGATGGTGTAGTAGGTACGACTCTGCAACTTGGCAGCCCCTTGTGATTCCTAGTCCCCAATATGAGAAGATGTCTAATTAAGGCTTCCAGGGTCACAGCGAGTTTACAGAACCCCGGTCAACTGTCCTAGAGGTACCTAAGTGTTTACCAAATTTGCCCCCCCCCCAATATCTTGAATGGAGACTGCTGGCCCATGAAAGCTTCGAGGCCCTGCTCTAGCTGTGACATATATCTAAATTATATGGTCTAGGCACAGGCCCCAAGGTTGAAATGCCTAAATCCCCCAAGCCAGAATCCCAACCAGGAGGTTCGGATCTTGTTGATATATAGCTACACTTGTTCATGGGGGCTTAGAAGCTTTTATGACTCCTACTTGGCTCCGCTGCCCAAGGTCAGCCCAGCATGGCATGCGATGCCACGGTCCTCGCTCGCACTTTCTGGAGGTGCTTCCCTGCCCGGCTGAACAGTTAAGATTGTAACTCAATTCGCTGCTGCAGTCGGATCGCAAGGCAGGTTGGGGTTGACACATGCAGTGACGTCCTGTTCGAGTTGTGGCTGCTTCGCTCAGAAGACCAAGTTTAGTTTCGCTGTACATGTTTAGGTGGCCATAGACCCTGCACTGTGCTACCTTTTGCTCATTGCTCGACAACAACCAAATAAGACCAAGCAATATATGTATATATATATATACTGATTGACTGTATGCATACTTCTAGGCTCATACCCTATACCCCTTTTCACGGTATCTACTTCTCTATATAAAACAGATCCTAATCATAAAACTAGGTA